AGTGGGCTGAGGGGCCCTACCCCAGACCTGGCCTGCTGCCCCTGGGCCCTCATCAGTGCCCTTGCTGTCTGGGGTGTGATCCCAGCATCACAAGGCAAGGACAGGCCTGACTGAGAGGGTGCAGGTAGGGGACACAATGTGGAGTCAGGCCTGGGTCCTGGTCCCACCCAGCATGGCACCTGTCCCAGTGCAACCTCAGGTGGGCCTGTCATCACGCCGAGCCTCAGTTTCCCCACTGCACAGGGTTGGGGCTGGCAGCTGCCTCAGTCCCAGCCCAGCACCCTCTTGCTGCGGTGGGTGACCTTGCCCATTGTAGCCCTATAGAACCCCAGCCTGCCTGCCCCACCCCTGCAGCCACTGCACCAAGATCAATAAGGAGCAGGGCCTCAGAGGGGCCACCTTTCCCGGTCCAGAAGGACAGATGCTGCCCCACACACTCCTCCATGGCCAGGCTGCATGCCTCTCCCTCCTGGGTCACTCTTGAGGGCACAAGGAGTGGGGAGGTAGGAGCAGAGGCCACACCCCTAGGAGACACAGGGCCCTGCAAGGGCAGGCTGCCCCACTGGAGCTGCTGCCACCACCCCCAGAACCTGGCACCAGGGAAGAGGCGCAGGAAACGCCATGGAGATGCGTTGCTGCCCCGCGAGCGTCTGTGGGTGCAGAAATGCCCTTCCCAGGATGGACGGAAGGTGGGTGGTGAGTGTGAGAAATGTGTGAGGATGCGGGGGCTGGACAGATGGACAATGAGAGGGTAGGGGGCTGGTGCATGTAGAGGACCAGTAGGGTGGGGACGAGGGGTGGGGGGTGTGCATGCGGCACTGCTGGGTGCCCTGGCCCTCTGCAGCGTGTGGACAGCACTCCTTCCCCCACCCCCCACCAAGAGCTATTTCTGGCCTCCTGTGCTGAGCTGTGGCCTCCTGTTCTGCCTCATAATGCGATCTGTGACGTGGCCCTTCACGGGATGTTGTTGGTGTTGGCGAGGGTCCTGAGTTGACCAATACCCCAGCTATGCTACGGCTGCCCCTCACCCCAGACCCTCAAAGCCTTCTGAACCCCCAAACTCCCGGGGGGAGAGTGGCAGCTTAGAGTCTCCCTGGAGATGTCCCCTCCCAGCTACGGACGGTACAGGAAGGACCCACATGGACCCAGCATGGCTGGCCACTCCCCATGCCCTCCCAACTCGAGCCAGATGAGCCTGTGGTCCCCTCTGGTGGCACTGTGGCACCTTCCCTTGCCCATCCTTCCTCTGGACCGTCCCCAGTGGGAACCTAGAGTTTGGATTCCGCTTCTTCCTGGCAGGGTGGCACGTGAAGATGGGGGGGATCCAGTCTGGGACGGGACCCAGGGAAGACAGCTAAGACCCACCTCCAACTGCCCGCCTGTCATCGCGATGTGGCCTCTGGCATTCCTGGCTCCAGGAGCTGCTGACCTCAGCAGCCTCTGCCTGCCTGACTACTGGCTTCTGCTGCTGCTGGGGGAGTCCCACCTGGCTCCCCCTCCACTCTTCTCCTCTCCCCACACTCCCTCTCCTTCCCCTGCTGCCTCCTTCCTTTCCCCCTTCTCGGCCACATGAAAGTGAACATGGCACCATGCTGCACAGGAGCTGGGCCTCCTGCCGCTTCTGCCCCCATGGCCCCTGAAGCCCCTGGGTGGGCCCTACAGGCACACCCAGCCCCCTATGCTGCCTGTGCGCAGCTGCCGGCCCCTTCTCTCTCCCCAGGCTCTGGCCCTGTTGGGCCCTTCTGCCCTGTCCTGCACTTCACACCAGCTCAGTGTTATCTTTCTAGAAATCCTCCTGGGGCCTAGAAAACTGCTGTTCCTACCTTGTCTGTCTGCCACTGGGGGGTGAGGCCGTGTGCTAGGGTGTGGGCTCCCCACCCACCCCTAGAAATCTTGGAGCCTTCCAGGCCGATACACCATCTCCCGCTGACCACAGCCCTCACACTGTCTTCCACTCGCGGGAGCCCTTGAGCCAGACCTGAGCGAAGCCCCTAGCCTGACCCGGTCCCCGCAGCCAGTGTGGCACCTTTGGGGGGAGGGCTCTGGAGTTAGCCCCTGACCTGTGCCATTGGCCTGAGGGAAGAGGAGCAGATATGGTCTCAGGATGAGGCGGCTGTGGGGTGGGGGTGGAGTTGGGGGTCCTGTAGCCTCAGGATGGCGGGAGAGGGGCTCTGAGGTGGGGGGCAGAGGGTATGGTCACAGGCTGGGGAGCCAGTGCAGCCATGTGGTGGCCTCAGGGCAGGCTTGGGGTAGACCCAGGTGACTGAAGGGCCTGGCTCGTACCAGTGGTGTCTGGGAGAGTCGGGGCCACATGAGGGCTGTTCTTGCGTGTGTTCCAGGGCTACGTTTCAAGGGGACGTTTAGTGGAGAACTGGGAAATGAATGAAGCGGAGGAGCCAGTGAGTGTAGCCGGGGTGGAGAGGGAAAGGAGAAGAGGTGGCGGGGTGGGGCTGATGGAAGGACACACACCTGGAAGCTGGAAAGGCCTTGATGGTCCAGAGAAGCCTTTCCAGGGTGGGGCGGGACCGTGGTCTACTTTGGGGGTGGGAGGGGTCACCCCTGGGGTGCTGTGCCGCCAGGGTACCTAGTGTCACACAAAGTTCGGTTTGATTATTTCATAGAAGATGCCCCTCGCATCTTCCAAGGATTGCCATCGAGACCAGTGGCGGGGGTGGGGGGAACTAGCCAATTTCTGCAGGGAATGAAGCTGCCACCCCTCCTGGCCCACCACTCTGCTGACATAGGCTGTGCAGAGGGACCAGGCCACAGAAGTTCGTTCCCAGGATGGGCAGCTGTGGGGTGGGGAGGTCTGGAGTTGGTTTCGAACTTCTGTCTTGGTGGTGATAGGTAGTGGTCTCTTCACCCCTTGCCAACTCCCGGGCCAGGCTGAGCACCACGTGACCCACATGGCCACGGCCCCAAGGTGGTTCGGCCTCTGAGTCTTGTTCTGGGCACTCAGAGTGGGTGCTGTGGCCTCAGGAGGGAGGAGGCCTCTGAGCTCACAGCCTCCCTCCCAGAGGGCAGAGAGAGAGCCTGCTCTGTTCTAGTGGGTGGAGACGTCAGTCACGTCCGAGCCCAGCTGAGCTCACAGCCCACGTCTTCAGGCGGGGAGCCCCGGGGCATGGGACTGCGGGCGACACGGCTCCATCGGTGACGTGGCATGATTACAATGTGGTGTGGAGGCAGTGTTGCCGAGGCGGCGGCGTGGCCCGGTCTCTGATGTGCTTTGGTTGGTGACAAGGCTCAGTTGGTGACGTGGTGTGGTCATGACGTGGTGTGATTGGTGGCTTGGCCCACTCTTCTCGCTGAGGTCCTGGGTCCGGCCCCAGTGTTCACATGAGGGCCGCAGCCCCCACCTCACCTCAGGCCTGTCTGTGCCGACCAGGTCCTAGGGATAGGAAGTGCTGTTTACGTAGCAGTCGCCTCCCGTGACAGCAGGTGAGACACTGGTGGGGAGCTGGCACAGTCAAGCCCGACTTTCCCAGGAGGACATGTGTGAAGAGAGTAGGGAGAGGGTGTCAGCAGTTTAAATAGAACATCAAGCCAAGTTGCACCCTCACCACCTCCCACACGCATGGCCTGGCCAGGAAGATGTGGGTTTATACCGGCTAGCCTGGGGAGGGCACTCCGGGCTCTGGGGCCTCCTGGGCCAGGCCTGTCTCTCTGGACCCCCATCCTGGGGCTACCATCTCCCGGGTGGACAACAAATGGCCTCCAGCCCCAGCAGCCCAGCCAGGCGCAAGAGGCAGAGGGGGCCCCAGGCTGTGGGGAGGAGGGGCCTTCCAGGAGGGCATCTGGAAGATAGGATAGACAAAGTCCCAGAGTCAGAGAGGGCATGACCATGTAGTGACCATACGCACAGCCAGCCTGGTCCCTATGTGTTTGCCGGGTGGCAAAAAGGACCCCGTGTGGCGTTTTAGGGGGGCAGGGGGCAGGGGGCAGCGTAAGTGGGAAGGCCCCAGGGTCACAATCTAAGGCCCCAGGGTCACAGTCCAGGGGAGGCAGCCTGACAGTGGTCCTCTCTTTTCTTCCTCCTGGCTCCAGCACTTAGCCACCCTCATGTCTGCAGAATCCTGCTCTTAGCTAGCTGCCAAGGAAGGTGTTAGCTGTCAGCACAGGTGTTAGCTGTCAACGAAGGTGTAAGCTGATAACTCAAGTGTTAGCTGATAAGCCATAACCCTGCCAGGGGGATTCACATTTTAATAGACTCGCTCCTGAAGGCAGAGAGAACCTTCAGGATTCGGGGGGAAGGGGGAGGGGGGCGGGGCAGGGGTAGTCCAATGGTGGAATGATAAGCAGTGAGCTCAGTATTGGGGAATGTGGCCCTGCTGGTGAGACCAGGGCTTGATACGGCACCCCAGGAGGGCTGTCCTGCCTGGAGAGGTCCTGATGGCCCCTGTGTGTCTAACCTCACAACAGGGCTGGGGAAGAACCCACTGAGAAGTGGCCCGGAGAAAGGCAAGCGGGGACGTTGTCACCACTGCCCAACAACAGGGCACCATCTGGGCGGGAGAATTGAGGACAGTGGCAGAGGGCAGCTGTGCAGGGATTGGCTGGGAAGGAGTGAACTCCTGCTCCAAGAGGAAATCAAGCTGAGAATGAGGCCAAGGGGAGGAGGCTGCAGGAAGTGCTCCACCGTCAAAGCAGGAAGCAGTTTAAAGGAGGGTTGGGGAGGGGGGGCGAGGGGGAGGTGTGGATGGAGGGAGCGGCCTGTCTGGGAAGCAGGTGAGTGAGGCAGGGTCACACTCTGTCTCCCAGAGCCCTGTGGGGTCCCAGACACGGGCTGTATCCCCATGGGAGTGTTCCCTAGGCTCTGTTGATGGGATGCCCGCAGCCCCTGGCCAGGTGACAGAGCCTCCCCAAGAATCTGGCAGCCTGGAGACCTTGGTGGCTCTGGGCCTGAGTGGGACATGGGATCCGAGCCACAGACCCTGTCCTCCTGCAGCCCAGGAGGCCCCTCAGGAGGCACTGCCTCCTGGAAGGCCATGAGCATGGCCGGCATGGTCCACGTGTTTGCCGAGAGCCCTCACTTTCTCTCCCATCCTGGCTTGAGGGTTGGGGGGACAGGAGGTAGGTCAGGGACAGCACAGGGACCAATGGGAGTCGTGGGCAGGCCCAGGTACTCTGTGTTTGATGGAGTCCCAAGACTGCAGGTGTGAGCACCCATCCCAGGAGGCCTACGACGGGCCTTGGGGGAGATGGGCGGGCCGACCCAGGCCTTAGGGAGTGGCATGGGGGGTGCAGGTGTGGTTTCTCAGAGTGAGACGTGTGGTTCCAGTGGTGTGATAGGTGCAGCAGCTTCCACGTGGTGTATGGAGCAGGACACACCACAGCCCCAATTCCCAATAGTGGTTGCTGCGTCTTGCACCCCACCCTATTCCTTCTGAGGCGCAATCCCAGGGCCAGCGTGGCCCCAGTGTCTCCAGCTTCTCAGGGACCTGCCTCCTAACCACCTGCCCCCTAACCGCCTGTTGTCTGCCTGCAGGGAGCCAGCTGCTGGCGTGGTTGCTGTGGCTGCAGGCGTGGCAGGTGGTGGCGCCGTGCCCAGGCGCCTGCGTGTGCTACAATGAGCCAAAGGTGACAACGAGCTGCCCACAGCAGGGCCTGCAGGCCTTGCCTGCTGACATCCCAGCCGCCAGCGAACGTATCTTCCTACATGGGAACCGCATCGTGCACGTGCCGGCTGCCGGCTTCCACGCCTGCCGCAACCTCACCATCCTGTGGCTGCACTCCAATGCACTGGCCCGCATTGACGCTGCCGCCTTCTCTGGCCTGGCGCTCCTTGAGCAGCTGGACCTCAGCGACAATGCGCAGCTGCGCTTCGTAGACCCTGCTACATTCCGCGGCCTGAGCCGCCTGCACACACTGCACCTGGACCGCTGCGGCCTGCAGGAGCTGGGCCCAGGCCTGTTCCACGGTCTGGTTGCCCTGCAGTACCTCTACCTGCAGGACAATGGGCTGCAGGCGCTGCCTGATGACACCTTCCGTGACCTGGGCAACCTCACGCACCTCTTCCTGCATGGCAACCGCATCCCCAGCGTGCCTGAGCGTGCCCTTCACGGCCTGCACAGCCTCGACCGTCTCCTGCTGCACCAGAACCGTGTAGCCTACGTGCACCCGCACGCCTTCCATGACCTCGGCCGCCTCATGACGCTCTACCTGTTTGCCAACAACCTCTCGGCACTGTCTGCCGAGGCCCTGGTGCCCCTGCGTGCCCTACAGTACCTGCGGCTCAATGACAACCCTTGGGTGTGTGACTGCCGGGCACGCCCGCTCTGGGCCTGGCTTCAGCAGTTCCGAGGCTCCTCGTCCGAGCTGCCCTGCAGCCTGCCTTTACACCTGGCCAACCGCGACCTCAAGCGCCTGGCTGCTGCCGACCTGGAGGGCTGTGCCATGGCTGCCAGGCCCTCCCGTCCCATCCGGACCGGCGGGCCCGCTGATGAGCTGCTGGGGCTGCCGAAGTGCTGCCAGCCAGACGCCGTGGACAAGGCCTCCGTGCTGGAGGCTGGGAGCCCAGCATCAGCTGGCAACGCACTCAAGGGGCGTGTACCACCTGGTGACAGCCCGCCAGGCAACGGCTCCAGCCCGCGGCACAGCAATGACTCCCCCTTGGGGACCCTTCCTGGCTCGGCCGAGCCCCCACTGACTGGGCTGCAGCCCGAGGGCCCCGAGCCACCAGGGCCCCCCACCACAGGCCCACGCCGGAGGCCAGGCTGTTCCCGCAAGAACCGCACCCGCAGCCAGTGCCGTCTGGGCCAGGCGAGCAGTGGGGGCGGCGGGGGTGGTGACGCAGAAGGCTCAGGTTCCCTGCCCGGCCTTGCCTGCAGCCTCGCCCTCCTGGGCCTGGCACTGGCGCTGTGGACAGTGCTCGGGCCTTGCTGATCAGCCCCCAGAACATAAGGCCTTTCTCTGCAACCAGGTGTGTGTACATACGGGCTCCCTCCATGTGTCAGCCTGGGCCCCATGCCTCTGCCAGCCCAGTGTCAGCACCGAGCAGCCCCATGGGCAGGGCAGGCCCTCCCTGACGGATGCCTCCCCGCCTGCCCACCCCCCATCTCCACCCCGTCATGTTTACAGGGTGCGGCAGCGTTTGTTCCAGAATGCTGCCTCCCGCCCAGATCGCGGAACATAGAGATATGCATTTTATTTTACTTGTGTAAAAATATTGGACGACGTGGAATAAAGAGCTCTTTTCTTAAGTTGTGGCCTCTCTGGCCGGGGGTGTTGTAGGCAGTGAGAAGACAGGGGATGGGCATCCTGGTAGTGCAGCCCCTCCCCCAGTCATAGGCCTACCTGAGGCCCCTGCACCTCCCCTCCCCCCGATAGCCAGGAAGCCTGCCCCACATTGACGTCAGGGAGCCACATGCAGCCCTGCGTCAAGCTTCTGCCTTCTGCACAAGTGGGGTGACCATGGTGTCCAGGGAAAGTGTGTGCCCGGTGCAGAGCCCACGCCAGGCCCATGGTGTGGGATGCCTCTGGATGCCAGCTCTGGTGTCACCCAGGTCCCTGGAGGGGTTCCAGCCTGCCACCCCAGCCAGCCCCACTAACCCCAGCCCCATATGTGCTGCTGCTGTGTTTCTGCGGCTGCCCATCAGGGCTGGGGTTAGGCTGGCTGGCCCTGAAGGAGAGTCGGGTGGGTGAGGCTGGGGGTGCCGTCCCCTCCTAGAACCAGCCGGGCCACATGCACCTCACATCACTGCTACAGGTACACACTACACGCAGCCACACCCACACCCCCATCCTCTTACACCAGGCTCGCACCCTAGACGCAGTCCCCGTGGGTTTGCATGCACACACAACACATGCACAAAACGCACGCACGTGCACGTGGACACGAAACATAAGTACACACGTGCACACAGGGATCCAGACCATACAGCACGGGTGCAGACATGCCCACACGTTTTTTCAGGTCCTGGGCCGTGAGGACTTAGAAACAAAAGGGTTAAGTTGCCATGTGGCTGCTAGAGGCTCCCCCACAGGGCAGGGACTGGGGAGGGGGAGCTGGAGACAGTGAGTTGAGAGAGGGAATAGGGGGAGTGGGGTTGGTGGAGCCAGATGGCAGTGGGGCGTCAGGGACTCCTGGAACTTCGGGGAGGGAGGAGGGGGAGCAAGGAGAGGGGATGAGCTCAGCTCCCAAGGCCCCCTAACCCCTCTACCAGCCCCTCTGTGCCACTGCCCCGGGTGAGGGACTCAGACCCCACCCCATCTGGGACCCACCAGGCTGGGCTGCCTGGGGAGAGGTTCCTTGCAAGGCTCAGCCTGTGGGCATCTGTCGCCAGGGTACCTGGGCAGGGTCCTCAAGGGTGGTCCTTACCCAGTGGCTGGCCCTGACACCTCCTCAGACCCTCCTACACACACCACCTCCTCACTCAGGACCCTCATGCTGTTTCCCAGAGGGCAGTGGGCTAGATTTGCCCTGTGCATGGCGTACGCCAACATGTCTGAGCCCCGGTGAGCTCAGGCCAGGTGGCTTAGGCCCTGCACAGTTGGGGACACCGGTTGCCTAACACCCTCTGGGTCCCAGGAGACCCTACCGCTCCCCTGTGCCTCCCAGCAGCCCCGATCCCAGGCAGAGCCAGCTCTGTGAAGGGTTTTATGTCTTGGTGTTGGCAATCTCTGCCCTGTGCCTGCAGGCCCACCACCACCACTCCTTGGAGCCCCTGGTCCTTGGGACCTCCCTTAGCTGCACTCCTTCTCCCAGCACAGGGCACTCACTGCCTCTGGGAGCTGCTCCCCACTGAGGGGCACTGTCTGCCCCCTGGACACTACAGGCCTGACTGCTGTCACCACCAGCCGGCCCTGGGGGTGGGGACCTGGGGGCCAAGGAGGGGCCCTGGGCAGCATGGGATGGACAGTGAGTGCTTGGCAAGGCTGCCCAAGGCCCACTCGGAGCTGTGACCTGGATGACCCCCATGACCTTGCTGCACCCGCCCTTTTGGCCACACCCTCCTCCTGGCACCACAGAGCCCCCAACTCATCCCTCAGGGCTCCGCACACCCCTGCTCCATGCCCCCCCCCCACAAGGGAGAACCTCGGCACTCTGTGGGGAGGCGGTGTGCAAGTCTCCTTCAGCTGAGGAGGGGGGTTGAGAAGGGGAGTAGCCGGAGACTGAGTTTGCAGGGACACGTGGACGGGGTGGGGCAGTAGCAGGGCTCAGGCAGGTGTCTGCCCTGAGCAGTCGGCGGGTGGTGCCAGTCCCCGAAGTGGGGGTGCCAGGAGGAGCGCCCGCCTGTTGTCAGGGCCTGGGAGACATCTGGGCGGGGGCGTCGTGTGGGCTGTGCAGGCTGAGCTCCGGAGGGGCCTGGGCTGAAGGACACATTTGGGAGTTGTGAGCACTGGGTGATATTTACAGCCCAGGAAGAGATGAGCTCACCCTGAGGAAGGCTGGAGAAGGGATTGGGGGTAGTGGGGGAGGCCTCCTGCTGAGCAACTAGACCAACGGAGAGGCTGGCCAGTGCCCCCCAGGGCTCAGCTGCCACCTGCTCCCACCCCTGCCCCTCACTGGCTCCGCTTGACCCACCCCTGACCCAGCTGGTGTCGGGAACTGGATGAGGTGGGGGTGGGTGGGCAGCAACGTCCAGCCCGAGTCCCCTGCACCCTGAGGCCTTAAAGGAAGCTAACTAAAGCCGTGTGAAGCATGTTGAGCGTGTAAATCTCCCACTGGACAGTGGCTGTTGGCTCACCCATCCAACGGTGCCAGGCTGGCAACTTGTGGATGGAATTCATCACAGCTCATGGGCTTCCTATGTCCCGGGCCCCAGCGAGGGCAGCCCTGCCCCTCAAGGACGGATACAAGGGCAAGCGGCCCACTCAAGGGTGCCTGACCTGTGACAGGTTCTGAGGGTCACTTCTCAGCCATGACCCCAACCCCTAGGGCCCCTGGGAAGGCAGGCAAGGCACAACTGCTCAGACCCTCTGCAGGGCTGGGGACGTCCCTGGGGTGTCCCTTGGGCCCTTGCCCTGGGACAAGAGTGCCTACTCTTGTTTATCTGGGCTGCACAGGGCTTTGCACAGTAATTAGAAGAATTATTTTTTAATCCTTAAATTAGTTCTGAAATAATAGAAAAAGCAGAATGTTCAGCAGCTGATGGTAGATTAATGTCCAGTGAGACCAAGAACATGCCGGAAATATGTTTAGAGGGAAGTAAGTGTTTATTTGCTGTATGAGCTGGGCCCCAGAGGCTGGCCACAGCAGCCTGGGGTGGAGACCCCTCCTCACGGCCTGGGTCATCTGCCTCAGTCCCTGGCCCTGCCCAAGCTTTCAGCCCCCTGCTACAGAGGGCGGCAGCTAGCCAGAGTGGTCCTGTCTATGACTCCCTGAGCCCCAGGCTGCACGCGGCCCCTCACAGCCCCGTCTCAAGCATGTCCCCACAGGAAGGCACGACTGATGTACTAGAGGCAGGTTGGACCAGAGGTACCCTCATTCTGATAACCCTGCAGCTGACTGTGGCTCTGTCAAAGAGGACTGTGGGTCCTCCCGGCCCCAGCTCCCCACACAGCCTCCACCTTCTGCCCTCATTGTGGGGTAGAAGGGGGTGTCCCACAGTCCTGGGCATCCATCTGTGCCCCTGTCACTCGGCCAAGTCGTGTGGACATGGTCGGGCCACCTCAGGTTGTAGCCACCACACCACAGTGAAGGCCCAATGTGTCCCAACTGCACTTGGTCCTCTGATGTCTGGCCACAGGCCTCATTTTCCTGCTGTTGGCCTTGTCTTGAGTCCTGTCTCGCCTTCTTTCCTCCATGGGGATTTGCCACGCCCCTACTCTTCCCACCCTATGCTGGGCTGCTGCTGCCTGGACTCCTAAATGATGGAGCTGGCCCAGGAGCACCTCACAGCCAGGGGCCCAGCAGGACTGCCATGGATGAGCAGGCCAGGAAGACAGCCCAGCACCGATAGCCATCAGCATTCTGAACATGGCACTCCCCATACTGTTGACACAGCCCCTTGACTACCTGCTGCCTCCCTGCCCTTTGGGGCATGGGGGGTGTAGGTTTGCTCTGCGGGAGGGGCTCAGCTCTCAGAGGCAACTTCTGCCTGGCCAGGCCAAGTCAGCTCTCATCTCCCGGTCGTGCCCACTCCCAGTGCCAGCCTCCTGGCCCCCACAACCCAATCATCCCCCTTGGCCCTCCTGCCTGCCCTCTTAGGGGTGGAGGAAACTGTGGATGGGTGAGGAGGACCAAGATACCCCTTCAACACCTACTCCACATCCAACCTTGCACTGGGCGTGTCTCTCACCCTCTGGCCTCCTCACAGCCCTGTGAGGACATGTACCCGTTGTCCTGGCCACAAGCTGGGACACCGAGGCCTGGGAGGGCCCTGCATACTGCCAGCCTTGCCTCATCACCCAGTCCCTCCCACTTGAGGGACTCTGTCCCACTTGGCACTGCGCTGTGATCCCAGTTAACACGACGACGCTACGCACTGGCTCAGGGTGATGCTGGGAAGGCAGGGCCAGGCTTTAACCAGCCTCTGCTGAGCTCACACCACTGACCATGCCCCCAGCCCCGAGGCACTGCCCCTCCTGCCCAAGCACTGCTCGCCCCGAGTTGGCTACACTTGCCTCCAACCTTGTTTACATAGCCCCACTCGTCACCCTAAAGGAAGCTCATTTAAATGTGACCTGAGCCCTTTGCACACAGAAGGAAAGGGCCATCATTTCTGTGAAAGCAGAGTTCAACACAGAGGAAAGACTCAAGTACAAAGGACACGCTGCTATCCGGTCAGGGAGGGACAGCGTGGTCTCCCCATGGGCCTTGATGGGAACAGGGGCTGGGTGGCCAGGCCAGGTCCACGGAGAGGGAGGCCTTGGAGAGGGGCTGAGATGGTGGGGGGGGGCATCTGAGATTGGGGGTACCTCCTGCCCTCCGTCACAAGCCCCACAG